AAAAAAAAAAAAAAAAAACTCAGTTCCGCTGAGACACTTTTATACATTTGTGTAATTTTCAAAAAGTAATTTAGGAGGAGCTTTGACTGCTTTTTTTAAGTAATAAAAATTTGCGTTGGTGGGCCAGACGTATGTCACCGACGGGCCGGATGTGGCCTGTGAGCCGTTAGTTGCCCATTCCTGGTCCAGACAAATGAAGGCATTCACAGACAGGCAAAAACACTGTTGCCCTTTCATCTYGGACAAAAAGCAGTTAATTTACATGATGTAAGAGATTCTTAGAGAAGCAGAAGGAAACTCACACAGGCACGAACWGACAGAACCTCAGACGGCTTTAAAAAGTGTTTACAAGCTGTCTTCTTATCTAACAGGCTCTTACAAAGCACTTTCTACTACTGCTTTTTGTCCCGTATTCCAACATTTTTTACTCACTACCTAAAAGCTAAAACAATTTTGGACAAACCTCTGCATGTCACTGAGTAAAACTGGAAGTAAAGATATAAGTGCTGCGTTTTTTCCACCATTTGATTTTAGGTCATGCGTGCGTTGTGTTATTTAAAGAGCACGGGGGTCATCCTAAACTTTAACTATCACATATCAAGGACCCACGTGTGTGTGTGTGTGTGTGTGTGTGTGTGTGTGTGTGTGCGCGCGCGCGCGCGCGCGAACGCGAAAGCTGTGGCTGCGCATCAGCTGTGAGGTTTTATTATCTTCATGAATAAACATGAGCTTGTTCATTAAATATTCAAAGGCTTCTTAACTCTGCATGGCTCCTGACAGCAGGAGAAAGGGCTCGTGCACTCACATGAACGCCATAGGCTGCGGTTTCCACCATAGACATCCATAGAYGCCCTATTGGAAGCTGAACGGCATAACCATGTCGCCGCCAAATTGGAGGTGGCAGAGAGTAGAAAGCAAAATGCCTCGTAGTTGTGCGGCTTGGAAATATTCTAACACTTCAGATGTCCAAACAAAATAAGACAGAATTACCTTTCACATGTAGGGCTTAACACTTACTATAAATTGAATTTAAGCCATAGTCTGCACGATTTTCACCATTTTAACTTTGTTTTGGGAGAGTAAACTTGTCAACAAAAATATTGATTTATGGTTCCTGCTCACAATTCATTACTATGGCATTTACTTTAGACTGCACACAGTATTAGATGAACA